TGGCTTTGACGGCGTGGCTGTTGAGAGCCAGGTCCTGAAGGACTGGGGGTTGCCCGATGCGGTATTTTCCACGATGCTCAGGGCACGCAATGCGGTTCTAGGAAGATTTACCGTCGCACGTGGAGGGCCTATTTTGCCTGGTGTGAGGCTGGGGGCTCTGTCTCTGCATTTGTTCTCGATCAGCATAGTTCTTGCTTTTTTGCAGCGTGGCTCAAGGGTTGGCCTTGAGCACGGTGCAGGGCCAAATTTCTGCATTAACTGTGCTTTTCCAACGGCCCTTGGCGTCTACTGCCTTAGTTTGCGCTTTTGTTCAGGGGGTTACGCGTATTGTTCCCCCTGTCCGCTCGCCTTTGGCGCCGTGGGATCTGAAGCTGGTGCTTTCGGTGTTGCAGGAATCTCCTATTGAGCCTATTGGTTGCCATCACTTCCGTTCGCCAGGTGTCTGAGTTGGCTGCCTTGTCCTGCAAGTCGCCGTTGCTGGTTCTTCATAGGGACAAGGCGGTTCTCTGTCCTAAGCCGGGTTCCTGCCTTAGGTTGTGTCGGCGTTCCATCTGAATGAGGGCATTGTCTTGCCTTCTCCGTGCCAGAAACCGGTTCATGGGAAGGAAAAAGCACTGCACTGTTTGGATGTGGTTCGCGCTCTTCGGTTTTCTTTGGAAGCTACGGCTTCTTTCCGTGAGTCAGATTCCTTGTTCGTGCTCACGGAGGGCCCTCGTAAGGGCCGCGTCGGTGGCTACCGTTTCTCGGTGGATTCGTATTGTTATTCAGGCGTACGCCGTTAAGGGGTGTGAGCCTCCTTTCCCTGTCAGTGCCCATTCTATTGGGGCTTCCTGGGCCTTCCGTCATGGGGCCTCTGTTTCTCAGGTTTGTGGGACCGCTTTGTGGTCTTCTGTTCACACCTTTTGTTAAGTTTCACAAGGTGAATAAATTGGCATTGGCGGATGCTGGTTTGGGGCAAAAAGTGTTGCAGGCGGCTCTTTGAGGGGTCCTTTGGGTGTTTGGTTGTTGTTGCCCATCCCTCAGTGTGTACTGCTTGGTGACGTCCCTACCATTCAGGATCTACGATCTGTTGCCCTGTGTCCTTCAATGAACGGGCGAGAAAATAGGATTTTTGTACTCACCGTAAAATCCTTTTCTCTCCGTTCATTGAAGGACACAGGTCCCGCCCTCTATATTGGGTGTGTACTCCTAACTGCTTGTTACTTACTGGAGACTTGTCAGCAAGTGAGGGGTTGGGCCACCAGCAGGGGCCGCCCCTAGGCTGTCTTTTCTTTTTGTTATGTGCCTAGCGTCCTACTGCTGCAGGTGGCGATATACCCTACCATTCAGGATCTACGATCTGTTGCCCTGTGTCCTTCAATGAACGGAGAGAAAAGGATTTTACGTTGTGTACAAAAATCCTATTTTCCCTATGAAATGTTATGAAACATTTATTACCTCATTTTTTTGATAAAACATAAAAGACGGGGTCACATCAGGTAAATAGACACCAAACATGTCAAGCTTTAAAATTGCGCGTGTCCGCAAAATCACAAAACGACCACACCCAGAATTGGCCATAGGCGACGCTTTAAAAGCTTTTACCGCTCATCAGTTAATCAGTTAACATAGTGTTATCAGTAATTAATGGCCCTAAAATTATTGCTCATATTTCCGACATTCGCGGCGATATGTAACGTGCGGCACAATGGATCATAATCGTCTTTTGCGTGTGTATGTGGGGGAGGGGGGACGGGGGACTTTTTGGAAAAAATAAAATTTATGCTTTAATTTTTTTTTTTTGACACTTCGCTTTATTGCTGTCACATAGGGGACTAAGCAATCCCCTATGTGAAAGTAGCCAATTCTCATAACAGGTCCTCCTTTATGGAGACATGAGCGGTCTCCAAGACCCCTAATGTTATCCTAAGGACCCCCAACGCTGGCTGTTTACATGGCTGACAGCGGGGGGGAGGGGCAGGACATCTTAAGACACTCTCCCGCTCCTGTAAGGCTCCCGTCCGGCCGTTCCCGAACGGCCATGGTTGGGAGGTGGTTAAGGTAGTCCTATCTCAAAATAAAATCACTGGAACTGTCGCAAGCACTCCACATGTGCCACACCTGAATTGCTTTAGCTCTCATTCCCATACATAGACCTTTAGTCATTCCACTATCATATTAGGTATATCAAAGCAACCATTCTTTTTTTTTTTTTTAAAGAGGAAAAGAAGAACATACAAGTCAGGGGAAGAGAGAGAGATAAAGGAAAAAAAGGCATTCATATATGTCATATTTCGTAATTCTAAACATTAAAGGGTTATTAAACCCTCATTTGTTTTTGCATATATCTACTGCTAGAGAGCAGATATATGCAAAACTATTTTTTAAAACAACTTTTTGAAAGGGTTAATTCTTACCTGTGTCTCTGCCGCGTGCTCCCGTCCGAACGATCTGAAAATTTCTTGGGCAGCCGCAAAGGATCTTGGGAAGGGCGCATGCGCACTTCAGATGTTTGGCCGGGAGACGAGGAGAGACACAAGGTAAGTACAGTAATACCTTGGTTTACGAGCATAATTCGTTCCGGAAGCATGCTTGTAGTCCAAAGCGCTTGTATATCAAAGCGAGTTTCCCCATAGGAAATAATGGAAATTCAGATGATTCGTTCCACATCCCATGTTCAGCATTCCCCTCCCTAGCTACCCGGCAAGCCAGTCCTCGGCCGGTAGGAGGGGCAGCAAAGCCAAGGAAACAAGGTGGTGGTCGGGGTGGCGGCCCGTTTACCGGATTGTAGAAGTGATCCGGCGGCAGCTGAGCCACCAGAATCGCTTCTACTGTAAAGCCGGTCGTCGGCTCTACAAAACTGAACAGACTCCCGGGATTATCCTGTCATGAGTCATGAAGGGGTTAAACCAGGGGTCAGCAACCCGCGGCTCTGGAGCCGCATGTGGTTCTTTCCTCCCTCTGCTGCGGCTCCCCGTGCAGGGGGCAAAACTACCGCCAGAGCCTCGGGGCCTGAGGCCGTGGGGGGTTCAGTGAGGTCCGGTCCTGAAATGTCACTTCTATCCGACTTTGTGAGTGGGGTGGACTGTGAGATCGCACTCAGAGTCGGATAGAAGTGACATTTCAGGACCGACCAGCTGTTCCAGGGCAGATCAGTTATCCTGCACATACGGTTTGCGAAGCCGATCTGCCCTGGAACAGCTGGGAAAGCGTTCACGTATTGCTTCACCTATTAGCGGTCACACATTCCACCACCAAAAAACTGGGCGGGATTACATTGAAATGTGTGACCACGTCACCGGTCACACATTGTAACGAAGTCACAAACTTTGATAGAACACCGCCATCAGGGGGATACGGCCGGTACCCATGTGAGGAATTGGGTGGCATGGCAGAGGTGACAGGAGGGGGTGGAGGAGGCCAGGCCCCTGCAGCAGCACCAGGTAAGAGGAGTTTGGAGGAGGTGCAGGGAAAGGGACACCGGCGACCAGCCCACCTAAGACCCTGCAGAGCCCACCATATAGAGTCTCAGATGGGCTGTGCAGGATCTATGGTATGCTCTGCAGGGTCACTCTCAGGTGGGCTCTACTGGGTCTCAGGTAAGTCCAGAGTCCAGTGCGTTACTTAGCCCTAAATCCATTCCGTTACTGAATCCCAGGTCCAGTGCGTTACTAAGCCCACATATACCTATATACATAGCATAAAGGTCAAAAACGATCTATGCCGTGTTATCTTCATTTTAGATGTCAAAAAGATTTTTCGGCTGTTTTCTTTTCTGTGGGAAACGTGTCCAAATGGCTCTTGTTTAAGGTTGCTGACCCCTGGGTTAAACAGTCTAAAAGGTAAACTTAGCATAAGAAACATGCTGCCTGACTGGCTATTTTAAATTTTAATAGCCAATAGCAGGCTGGCTATTGCACCAGTCCACTGCCTGCTGTAAATCAGCAGAGGAGGACCTGAAGGAGATCATTCCCATAATGGGACTATAATCTCAATACAAATTAGTAAACTTAACGTGAGACTATAGTTCATCACGGGAGTGCGCTTATAGTGGTGGCTACTTTACAACACATACTGTGACCATGGGGAACAAAAGTAGACACCCTCCAGAAGGAAGGATAGTGTCTGGGTGAATTCAGACGGCATTTTTTTTTCTGTGGGCGCGCACGGGCAGAGTAGACCCGTGCAATGCAAACACCCATTACCGGGTGTTTCACATATAGACGATCGGCGGCTCTTTAGCCTGCCGATCGTCTATGTGCTCGTTTTTTCGGTCCCCGTCTGCTGCCGCCGCTTTTTCGCTTGCTTTCGCTTTGTCGCCCTCCCCTGACCTTTCTGTAATTTTTCCTTATTATAGTAAAAAATAAAAACCCCAGTGGTGAATAAATACCACCAAAAGAAAGCTCTATCTGCCCCCAAAAAATGGTATAAAATTAATTTCAGTACAGCGCTGCATGACGGAATAAATGTCAGTAAGTACTGCAGCGCTGAATACTGAAAAATGGCCTGGATGGGAAGGGGGTTTAACACCGCAGATGTCAAATAGTTAAAAAAAAGTATATGTAAACCCCAACAATGAGCTTCTCTTATTTTCTGCCTTTTGGACTACTAAATATACCATTGAAAATGTTTTCATATCTATTAAGTACAAAATAATACCTGCTGATGCCAGAAATCTTGTGAGCTGATGATTCCGTGTGCTGTACACTTATTGGTTACCATTGTTCCCAGCTTCCTCTATGACCTACAGAACACAGGTCAAGAGAGGTAGGGGTTTTCAGTTGTCAAACACTTCCTGTTCAGGCGCCACAATGCTGCTTATTCATAGATACAATATGGTGAATGAGCATTGTCTCTCGGGCAGGAAGGTTTATTGCTAGGTGAAAATAAAGGAACAAAAAGCCCAAAATCAGAAAACAAATTTATGCACTGCATCTATGTACTGGTAAACTGCAGTATATGAAATTTCTTGTTTTGGGGTTTAGATACTGGTTAAAATTGTTGTCTTTCTGGTTATTTAGGTATTTGAGCTTACAATTTACGAAGACGATTTAGAGGACACACAGAGCCTGAGTGATGACACAGATACAGATATTGGATCTGAGGTATGTTGTAGTCCTGTTATTACATTTTGTTTCTAACATAAAGTAAGAACTGCTTCGTCCTTTTTTTTTTTTTAAGAAAACTCAAGTTTCTACTGTGGAAGGCTAATTATCATGGGTGGTTAATTTTGTTCTGAAGTCATGAACCTGAGAGAAAAGCCAAGTTGGCCATGACTAATTTAGTTTCCACTTTCTTTGCCTCATTGCTTTTTTCCTGAAGTGCATGCTACTTTAAATTATACAACTTCATGTGTTTTACTTCTTTGTAAGATGAACAGTGGTACTAAATATGAGTGAAGTGGAGAAATTACCTCACTGTGTGAAAATGTGATACAAGCCTCCCATTTAAGTAGCCGATGCCAGTGTTTGCTTTGCTTTTTACTAGGGATGCACCGATACCACTTTTTTAAGGGCGAGTACCGATACTTTTTTTCCAAGTACTCGCCGATACCAATTACCGATACTTTTTCTTAAAGGGACATGTCAAATTTTTTCTAAAGCAATACAAAATCATAATTTTAGGTCCGATTCTTAATATTATGAAGGGGAAAAGGGGAAAATAGATGAGCACATGTCCAGACCAGAACATTGTATAGTGTGGCACAGCTATATCCAATTCTGCATACCTGGCTTTATATTATAAGAACTTTATAATATAAAGCCAGGTATGCAGAATTGTATATAGCTGTGCCACACTATACAATAATCTGTCACTGTCACTGACGCACACCCCTTTGTGATGTGTAGCTGCCGGACGTGGAATGCCCCTACTGCATTTGATTGTCCAGGTGTAGTAGATGTCACTGACAGCTTTGCAACTGGGGTGAACTTGGTTCACACCAAGCCCTCACAGGTGCCAAGTTTTGAGCAGTTGATCATACCAGTTCTGACTCTACACCAGTATATTGTGCATTTCAAATGGGAATACTGTTACTTTAAACCTTATTCCAACATAATGGATACCACTGATACTGCTGAACAGTTAAACTGCCTATATTGTCTGCCACTGGTCAGAGCCTGTCACAGAATGTCAGCAGAGCTCTGGTGCATAACGCTAAGAAGGTCAGTACTGGAATACCAATTACAATACCCTCCAAGCACTCCTTGTAGCAAATACAATTAGGTGTAATGTCCCCTTTTCTGCAGACTGTGGCCTCGGTCAGCCCACAGGAATAGTTCTAGCGATAGCCAGACTCCAGAGCGTGGTTATTTTGTACATCTATACTAGTGGTTGATGAGTTATTATCTTTAAATGACAGAATCTTGTTAACATTTTTATTAATTTTGTCAGGTTACTGCACTACCTGCTGCTGAGCCTGTTGCCTCATTATACACATTCCTGCTCAGTCTGTGCAAGCACCAAATTAGAGGAGTGCAAGGCTGATTGATCGAATTAGTTATACCACAGGCTGTACCTGCCAGGTTCCTGTTCAGACAGTTTACCTCCACCTTCACCCTCATCCAGGGGCGTAACTAGAACTCACAGAGCCCCATAGCCAAATTTTATATGGGGCCCCCCAAACCGCCCCAACACCCTCCTCCGCAACCTACCCCCAGATCATGTTCCCGTGCCTGCGCCGTCTTTGTACTTACGCCACTGGTCAGAGGGCACAGTGCTGGGTATAGTCGGAGGGTAGAGTGCTGGGTATAGTCGGAGGGTAGAGTGCTGGGTATAGTCGGAGGGTAGAGTGCTGGGTATAGTCGGAGGGTAGAGTGAGGGGTGTAATAGAATTGGGTACAGGTAGAGTACGGGAATTAATCTTTTACAGTCAATAGAGGGTGTGATGAGAGTAGATGGCAAAAAGGCAGTGAAGATGTGACTGTCACAAGCAGATGGGATCGCTGTGCGCACACACAGCCGTCTCTCCTACACACAGACACACACTGTCACTCACCGATCTTGCCAGGATGCCACCAGAATCCACACTGCCACAAGGTACGGGGTCTCCACCATGTGCCATTCGCAGCGCACCAACTGCAAGACATCCCCCGCCCCCCTTCCCCCCCATCCTCATGATAAACGGCAGTGCCTGTGTCCCCGGTCTCTCCTCCGACTCCCGGCCGAGCCTATCTGCAGGGGCAGACCCGGAGCAGAACTCCACGCGACCCTGTTAATCTGGCCCTGGACCGGGCCCACCTCTGATCCGGGCCCCATAGCGACCGCGTGGGTTGCTATGGCGGTAGTTACGCCACTGCCCTCATCCCTCCAATAGCTCAGAGACTCCGACGCCCTTTCTCCAAACCGAAAAGACTCCCGGCTGTCATAGCGCTGCTGTGATGGGGGCGCCCATGACTGGCTTGCAGGGGGGGTCCATTATCTTCCTCCTCCCAGTCAGACATAACTCACACGCCAGCCATCTGCTCCATTCTGACCTCTTCTCCCGCTGATTGGCCGATTGGATGATGACAGGCTTCCTCACCAGTCACTCCTGACTGGTAAAAAAAAAAATTAAATTTTTTTTCTTGTCAGTTTATATCAAGCAGTCACTATGACTGCTTGATAAATTAACTTTTTTTAAATGTTTTGGCTATTAGGCTGTTCCAAACTTAGGAACGGCTAATAATAACCTTAGAGACTGATCCTGACTTTAGTCAGATTCAGATCTCACTAAAAGCTCTTTGATCGAGACGATCAGAACTGATACATTTCACTCAAAAGATATACATTGTATCTTTTGAGTGAAATGTATCTAAACATCGGGCTTTCGAGCTGTCAAAACAAATAGCAGAGAGATGAGTCACTGCTACCTCTCTGCTATTTTCAGCTGTCAAATACAGGATCGCAAATTGCGGTCCTGTATTTGCATGTAACAGCTTCATTCTTTCATTAATGAAAGGAAGAAGCTTTTACAATAAGCTTAATTCATTAATGAATGCCTCAATACTGAGGCATTCATTAATGACTGGTAACTGCTGAGAATCAGCTGTTACCAGCATTACAAAGCCTGATATAACTCGTCACGTACAGTGTTCGTGGCTAGTCGTAGGCACTTCGTGACGGGACGTACACTGTAGGGACCCTGCATGGCCCCGAAACGATGGCTATATGTGACGCTGTTTCATAGTGCTGGAGATCATCCTCCTACATAAATTTATGTGCACACGCCATCGGTGATCATCACTGCGAGCACCACCTGTTAATATGAGGTTGTGAATGCTGTAAGGATTGCAGGGGACATATCTGTACATTTGCATTTCACAACACATTTTAATGGTTTAAATGGTTTTATTTTGTCTGACTCTTTTCAGGACTGCTGGCAGTGCACAAACTGCCATAAATGTAACTCTCCGGGAAAACGCTACTGCTTCCGCTGCTGGGCTTTACGCAAGGACTGGTTTGCAGATTGCCCCCGTCTCGTACATGCCCTCTCGACACCGGCACTTCCAGCTAAGGCTAGTTCCCAAGAAACCAACAATGCTGTTGACATTCCTGATTGCCGTAGAACAATGTCTGCCCCAATGGTTAGAGGTAAAGGACCTGAAAGTGTGTCACAGTTTTTGGAGCCATTAGACCTGACATCTAACATTAGAAGCCTTTCGGAAAGTACTGACACACTTTTCAGCTGTCAGTCTGAGGAAACTTCACTGGAGTCTACCCAACCTCTTTTGGAGCCTTGCACGCTCTGCCAGCAACGTCCACGGAATGGAAATGTGGTACATGGTCGTACAGCTCACCTGGTGACATGCTTTCACTGTGCACGTAGTTTGCAGAAGACTCGTATGGGATGTCCGGTGTGCAAAAAACCCATACAGATGGTGGTAAAAACATATGTGGCATAGCTAGTGGAAGGACCACATTGTCCTATTTCTTTCTGAGGTGATGTCAGATGAGGCTCTTGAAGTCTCGTCTTTTGCAGTGTACATTGTTTTGTTTTTGTTTTTTTTTTGAAGAGCCTTTCTCCCTAAAGAGAAGCAGAAGATTGATGTGAAATACTGGTTTTTACCTGGTATAGTGGAATGTTACTCATCCCACAGTCTCCAGTTTTGTGACTTTTCATGCTTTATCACTGTTGTAGATTTTTTTTTTTTTTTATTGCATAGTTCTACTCAGTGATCATTACCTAGGAAACTAGGATTAAAATATTTGTATAAAAATGTATTATACCCTTGCAGAGAATATTTTTATTTATACCTAGACTTTGTTCTACACTGTCTGTTATCTCAAACTCTTTTCTTTGTGTTCTAGTGGCCAGTTGCTACAGGTTTCTAACAATTCTAACCCACACTTGTCATGACATCAAATAAAGATATGTTTTTTAGAACTATCTGTGCTCATATAAGTTTTTTTTCAGTCTGTATTGTAAAGAATTGTTGAAAGCCACATTTTCTGCAATAAATTTGAAGGACAAAATATTCTGAATTTTTAGTAGTTCATCTCCCAAATAGTCTGAAGAATGATGAACTTTGTGGAGGAAAGGGTACTTTATAGCATGGTTAGACAAACTTTATAATTTAAAAGCCAATCTGTTAATACTGGAAGCTAGCAGATCTTTTAAATTAGACAATGTATTTTTTCACGTTATCTACATGCATGCCACGTAATTTATGTATATTTATTGCCTCTACCGGACCACAGTACTACCACCCAACCCCCCGACAATGCCTTCGTCCACTTTTCTTTTTTCTCATCAGGCAGTTGAAGCCATCTTTGTTCAGGCATTACTACCTGTGCTGAGATGCTGGCTTAAAGATAACAAAATCATCAAAATCCTGATTCTCATGCAGTTGTTAGCTGTATTCACTGTTACCTGACAAGGTTAGCCCCTTGATACAGCCTGTCACCTTGTGGCTTGCTATAGCATTACAGTGTTCCTGTTAGAGTGATCAATGTGTGCAAGGATACTAAGGAAATCTTTTTTCTTGTGTGCAGCATCTATAAGAAATACTGTAAACTCAGCCTAGTCAAATTCACTTGACTGGAGCTCAATGACTGCTTTAAGTAATAATTTTTTTTAAAAAGCGGTACATTTTATACTGTTGCCTTATGCGTTGACATTTGAAGAATTAATTTATGAAGACTTAATTCTTCCTCTGAGTTAGGTTGACCAGGTAGTGTTTGCAAATGCAGCAGAGAAACCAGACATTCTGGCAATTAACATTTCAGGTCTGTGGGAATCATATCAGGTCTTTTAATGCTGTGTGGTTCCCACTGAAAAGATTCACCCGATGTGTCCAGTGATCATTTTCACCAGGAACAAAAGACAAACACCTTTTTGTCTACAGAACAGAAGGCAAATCTCTGCTACTTGTCAAAAATGCAAAAATCTACCTGATGGGTTTAAACACCCCCACTGTAGCCAAAACGTACAATTAAAATAGAACACAAAAAAGATTTTGCTTTTGAGATATTTTGTTGTCTGACAGGACATAGACTGGAACGGCACTACAGTTTTGCACTCACAGTTGCTACAGCTTTATGACAATTCTAACCCACACTTGGCTTGACAGCAAATAAAACCATGATGGGTTAGGGCGGTCTGTGCTTATTTAGGTGCTTTGTTTCTATCTGTATTATAAAGAATTGCTGCAAGCCACATTTCCTATGATAAATGTGAAGGGCAAAATATTGAGCATAGTTTATAGCTTTAATCTCTATCTTCTGAATAGTTTGGTGAATAATTCACTTTGAGGAGGGAAGTATAACTTCTTGCGTGGTTCTATAGAAATTGGATAATTCAGGAGCCAAACAGCCAGTACCAGAGGCAGACATTTTGTTGTTTTCATCAGTCAACCAGTTTTTTGCATGTTGCATGCCAAGCAATTTATAGGTATTTTTGTGCCTTTTGTAGAGATGGAGATCACAGTATTCCCCTAAAACATTGCTGCCCATACTGAGATGCTGGTTCAGAGTTAAGTCATGTAAATCCTGATGCCTGTGCTGTTTTCAGTTGTTTTCACAGATGCATGACCAGATCAAGTCCCTGCAGCCTCTCAGCTTGTAGCTTGCTGTACTGCTATGGTGTTGCGGTTAAGAGCCCACATTCACACCTGCATGTTCGAGGAACACGCCTTGTTTGTGCGTGTTCATGAGCTGCGTTTGCTGCATGTCCCCATTGAGTTCAATGGGGCCTCAGCGCAAGACAAATGCAGCAAAATAAAAAGCTTGTGTAGCAAATTTTGCAACCTGCATTCCGCTTTTGTGTGCATTTTTTTCTGATTAGAAATTAATGGCAACACGACCGCATTTTGCATTTCAGTCAATGCACGGAACGTGCAGGTGTGAATAAGGTCTTATAAGTGATCACTGGGGAAATGGATACTAAGAAAATACTTCCTCCTGTCAGCAGCATGTAGAATAGATGCTGTAAACTCGGCCTAGACAAAATGATTTGACTGGAGTTCAAGTACAGCTTTTTTTTTTTTTTTTAAATAAATGTTGCTGTATACTTGGTCTGGAATTGATTTATGTAGACTATTAATTAACTGAAAGGTCCACTTAAAGATTTTACAGATCTAATTTAACCTTGACTAATAAAGGCGCATAAATGGTATTGCCATTCTGAGTTTGTTTACTTTTGTTTTTTTAATCTGCCCTTGAAAACCTGTAGTTTGAAAGGTGTAGTATGAAAATACACATATGAAAACCTGTAGTTTTTGAGGAGATTGGCTTTTTCAAATGTTAAGTGAATATATTAAAGCACTTCTTTCGTATGACGTGTTGTTTGAACTTTTGTTCTGTAGCGGTAGTGTTTGTCTTCCACCCAGTAGTTTAATTTTAACCCTTTCACGACGGACGTACAGTGTTAGTCGTGAAGTGTCAGGGCACCCTGCTCTACCCTGCCATCTAGAGGGGAGTTTACTGCAGTAATGGTGGAATTTATGGAAAAATGTCTGAACTATTACAGGCCTCGTACCACGGGTTTCAAATGGGCTCCTTTTCTTTCCCCTTCAGAGTCCCCATCTGATCATCCTCTGTATGCTAGTGCACATCCTGAGGAGGAAGACAGGGCTGCTTCCAGTTTAATGGATCAGCCCAAAATGAGGACCTGTCTCCTGACATTACTTCTAGGGCTGCAACAACTAATCAATTTAATTGATGATCGATAATGAGAATCGTCAATTCTCATTATCGATCAGTTGAATCCTCCCCTATTGCCACCACCGCTCTGCTCCTCCATTCTCCTCCTTGCTGCTGCATGCTGCGGTCTGTGTCCCCTTCGATGCCCGCTGCTCTTCCCGCCTGTATTCGCAGAGGCAGCAGGAATCAGAGGGAACACAGAGAGCTGCAGCCGATGCCCAGCAGGGAGGAGAGACTTGTATATATAAAAAGGGTGGCAGAAGTCATTTTTGGTTTCAGCCTGACAAATTCTGCTGCGGGATGTGTGTTGAGGTACCATTCATTTCAATGGCACCAGAAATGCGCCTCCTGCCTGCAGTGTGATCGTCCGCACTGGAGCACGCGATACTGCAATGCCAAGCATTCCAGTGCAGTGCGATTGCAAAAAAATCAGTTTTATTGTGAAGTAAACTTTGTAACACACCATTTGTGTATTTCACTTTTAAATAAAAGATTATTTAATTTTTTTTGATCAAATTGATCGATTAATCAGGAAAATTATCGGCCAACTAATCAATTATGAAAATAATTGTTCGTTGCAGCCCAAATTACTTCCAAGACTATTACACTATTTCACTGGGTTCTGCTAAATCCTGGCAATTTGCATTTGCCATTCTGAGATGGGCGAGGAAGTCGGGAGGCCTGGGCCTTCATAACTTGCAGCTGTACCATAAAGCAGTTGTCCTACAACGGATCTTAGACTGGCACTTTCAAGTTGATAAGTTATGGGTTGGTCTGGGAAAATGCATGGCCGGGAGGAACCTGGCTCATGCTCACTGTTTGAAGCCTGAGTTCAGGGGTTTAGCTCCCCCCACTAACCACACATGTTTTACGCCTCTGGGATGCTATGAATAGAAACAGCCACCTGTCTCCGTGCACATCTCAGCTCCAGTAGGTAGCTATCTGTGGTTTCCACCGGGTAAAAGTATGTCCTATTTTAACCGCTGGGCATGTGATGGAGAGGTTCGCCTTATTAAATTCCTTAAAGAGCGGTCGCTAATTTCCCTACCAGAACTGCGTCAGAACTGGAGCTCGTTACCTTTCAATTTTTGGAGGCACAATCAACTGTCACATTTCTTTAGGACATGTGGCTCCTAAGTGAGACGACCTGACTCACTCACCACATTTGAGAAGCTATGTACTGCCTCTGGACTGCCCTCCAGACCCCTCTCCTTGATGTATACATTTCTCTTACACGTGGATCCTCCTGAATCCCTCTATTTCCTTAATGACTGGGAGGGGGAGCTGGGGGTGAGGTTTGCAGAGTCAGAGTTAACCATTATTCTTAGATTCACTCACACTTCCATCGACACTAAGGTACAAGAGACTGACTATAAACTGCTCACTTGGTGGTACCGCGTTCCTCATAGCTTGCACCGTATTTACCCCTCAGTGTTGCCCCTTTGCTGGCATGACTGTGGTATGGCGGGCACTCACTTGCATATTTGGTGGGAGTGCCCCAAGATCCAACCATACTGGCAAGAAATCCGGTCCCGTATAAAAGCCATCCTAGACATTGACATGACTTTTCTCCCGGCCCCCTTCCTCCTACACTCGGTACCCCATATTATAACTATAAGTCTACTCCTCTTCCTCATCTCCGGAACGCGGTGAAACGCCTTATCCCTTGATACTGGAAGATGGCATTCATCCCCACGGTAGAGGAGTGGAGTAAAGTGGTCTCGGACATTCTGGCCTCCGAAGAATGGATAACCACCTGTCAAGACAGGTATACAAAATTTTACTCTATATTGGTTGCGTGGATTCATTATGCCTCGGGTTCCGAGATCCTATGCCT